CTGTTTTGGTCGTATATATATGTATCCTCCGCAAGTCATGCGTGTTGTAAAAGTCAACTAAAATGCCAGGAACAATGGGCTAGTAACCTCTTTTCCTGTAAAGATTACTAAAAAGAATAAGAAGAAAATTGTCAAAGTGGGAAGTCTGAATGTGCGTGGATGTTGTGCAAATGATAACTTTTTTTATTTTTTATTTTTATTATCACACTGGCCGATTCCCACCAAGGCAGGGTGGCCCGAAAAAGAAAAATTTTCACCATCATTCACTCCATCACTGTCTTGCCAGAAGGGTGCTTTACACTACAGTTTTTAAACTGCAACATTAACACCCCTCCTTCAGAGAGATGATTTTGGATGTTATAATTGAGAAGAAGCTGGATGTCCTGGCTTTTAGTGAAACAAAGCTGAAAGGGGTGGGAGAATTTCAGTGGAGAGGAATAAATAGGATTAGGTCAGGGGTTTCAAATAGAGTGAGCTAAAGAAGGAGTAGCAATAATGTTGAAGGATAAGATATGGCAGGAAAAGAGGGACTACAAATGTATTAATTCAAGGATTATGTGGAGTAAAATAAAGGTTGGATGTGAAAAGTGGGTTATAGTAAGCATATATGGGTGGGGAGTTTTGAACCAAGTGTGAGAGTACTTGTGGCTGGGGATTTCAATGCTAAAGTGGGTAAAAATGTTGTGGAGGGAGTAGTAGGTAAATTTGGGGTGCAAGAGGTAAATGTAAATGGGGAGCCTTTAATTGAGCTATGTGTAAAAAGAGATTTGGTAATAAGTAATACATATTTTATGAAAAAGAGGATAAATAAATATACAAGGTATGATGTAGCACGTAATGAAATTAGTTTGTTAGATTATGTATTGGTGGATAAAAGGTTAATGGGTAGGCTCCAGGATGTACATGTTTATAGAGGGGCAAATGATATATCGGATCATTATTTAGTTGTAGCTACAGTTTGAGTAAGAGGTAGATGGGACAAGAGGAAGGTGGCAACAAGTAGGAGGGAAGTGAAAGTGTATAAACTAAGGGAGGAGGAAGTTCAGGTGAGATATAAGCCACTATTGGCAGAAAGGTGGGTTAGTGCAAAGATGATTAGTGGGTGGGGGGGATGGGGTTGAAGAGGGTTGGAATAGTTTTAAAAATGCAGTATTAGAATGTGGGGCAGAAGTTTGTGGTTATAGGAGGGTGGGGGCAGGAGGAAAGAGGAGTGATTGGTGGAATGATGAAGTAAAGGGTGTGATAAAAGAGAAAAAGGTAGCTTACGAGAGGTTTTTACAAAGCAGAAGTGTTATAAGAAGAGCAGAGTATATGGAGAGTAAAAGAAAGGTGAAGAGAGTGGTGAGAGAGTGCAAAAGGAGAGCAGATGAAAGAGTGGGAGAGGCACTGTCAAGAAATTTTAATGAAAATAAGAAAAAATTTTGGAGTGAGTTAAACAAGTTAAGAAAGCCTAGGGAAAGTATGGATTTGTCAGTTAAAAACAGAGTAGGGGAGTTAGTAGATGGGGAGAGGGAGGTATTAGGTAGATGGCGAGAATATTTTGAGGAACTTTTAAATGTTAAGGAAGAAAGGGAGGCGGTAATTTCATGCACTGGCCAGGAGGTATACCATCTTTTAGGAGTGAAGAAGAGCAGAATGTAAGTGTGGTGGAGGTACGTGAGGCATTACGTAGAATGAAAGGGGATAAAGCAGCTGGAACTGATGGGATCATGACAGAAATGTTAAAAGCAGGGGGGGATATAGTGTTGGAGTGGTTGGTACTTTTGTTTAATAAATGTATGAAAGAGGGGAAGGTACCTAGGGATTGGCAGAGAGCATGTATAGTCCCTTTATATAAAGGGAAAGGGGACAAAAGAGATTGTAAAAATTATAGAGGAATAAGTTTACTGAGTATACCAGGAAAAGTATACGGTAGGGTTATAATTGAAAGAATTAGAGGTAAGACAGAATGTAGAATTGCGGACGAGCAAGGAGGCTTCAGAGTGGGTAGGGGATGTGTAGATCAAGTGTTTACATTGAAGCATATATGTTAACAGTATTTAGATAAAGGTAGGGAAGTTTTTATTGCATTTATGGATTTAGAAAAGGCATATGATAGAGTGGATAGAGGAGCAATGTGGCAGATGTTGCAAGTATATGGAATAGGTGGTAAGTTACTAAATGCTGTAAAGAGCTTTTATGAGGATAGTGAGGCTCAGGTTAGGGTGTGTAGAAGAGAGGGAGAATACTTCCCGGTAAAAGTAGGTCTTAGACAGGGATGTGCAATGTCACCATGGTTGTTTAATATATTTATAGATGGGGTTGTAAAAGAAGTAAATGCTAGGGTGTTCAGGAGAGGGGTGGGATTAAATTATGGGGAATCAAATTCAAAATGGGAATTGACACAGTTACTTTTGCTGATGATACTGTGCTTATGGGAGATTCTAAAGAAAAATTGCAAAGGTTAGTGATGAGTTTGAGAATGTGTGTAAAGGTAGAAAGTTGAAAGTGAACATAGAAAAGAGTAAGGTGATGAGGGTATCAAATGATTTAGATAAAGAAAAATTGGATATCAAATTGGGGAGGAGGAGTATGGAAGAAGTGAATGTTTTCAGATACTTGGGAGTTGACGTGTCGGCGGATGGATTTATGAAGGATGAGGTTAATCATAGAATTGATGAGGGAAAAAAGGTGAGTGGTGCGTTGAGGTATATGTGGAGTCAAAAAACGTTATCTATGAGGCAAAGAAGGGAATGTATGAAAGTATAGTAGTACCAACACTCTTATATGGATGTGAAGCTTGGGTGGTAAATGCAGCAGCGAGGAGACGGTTGGAGGCAGTGGAGATGTCCTGTCTAAGGGCAATGTGTGGTGTAAATATTATGCAGAAAATTCGGAGTGTGGAAATTAGGAGAAGGTGTCGAGTTAATAAAAGCATTAGTCAGAGGGCAGAAGAGGGGTTGTTGAGGTGGTTTGGTCATTTAGAGAGAATGGATCAAAGTAGAATGACATGGAAAGCATATAAATCTATAGGGGAAGGAAAGAGGGGTATGGGTCGTCCTCGAAAGGGTTGGAAAGAGGGGGTAAAGGAGGTTTTGTGGGTGAGGGGCTTGGACTTCCAGCAAGCGTGCATGAGCGTGTTAGATAGGAGTAAATGGAGACGAATGATACTTGGGACCTGACGATCTGTTGGAGTGTGAGCAGGGTAATATTTAGTGAAGGGATTCAGGGAAACCGGTTATTTTTATATAGTCGGACTTGAGTCCTGGAAATGGGAAGTACAATGCCTGCACTTTAAAGGAGGGGTTTGGGATATTGGCAGTTTGGAGGGATATGTTGTGTATCTTTATACATATATGCTTCTAAACTGTTGTATCCTGAGCACCTCTGCAAAAACAGTGATTATGTGTGAGTGTGGTGAAAGTGTTGAATGATGATGAAAGCATTTTCTTTTTGGCGATTTTCTTTCTTTTTTGGGTCACCCTGCCTCGGTGGGAGACGGCCAACTTGTTGAAAAAAAAAAAAAATTTGTCAATGTGCAACCACCCAGCCTTAATTGTTTTACACAATGGTAGGATTGCTGATCTCTCTCGTCTCAAACAGGCAAGATATCGGGTACATCTTGCTACTTTTACTTACACTTAGGTCACACTATACATGCACGTACAAGCGCATACGACCTCTCCTCACTTAGCGACATACTCATTTCACAACGACTCGGACTTACGACATATTGCAGATCATAGAATTGATGTGGGAAAAAAAGGCAAGTGGTGCGTTGAGGTGTATGTCACCCTGCCTAGGTGGGAGACGGCAAACTTGTTAAAAAAAAAAAATATATACCAGAAATGTTATAAATGGTGCAAAAGTGACATTAAAACAATATCAAAGATGGTTGACACAAACCTACTACCACCCGAGTATGCTCCTCACTTAGTGATGAATTCGTTACTGATGTTGTCTTAGGAACGGAACTCCGTCGTTAAGCAAGGAGAGGTTGTATGTACACACACCCCTCTGGGTTTTCTTCTATTTTCTGACTAGTTCTTGTTCTTGCCTATTTCCTCTCATCTCCATGGAGAAGTGAAACACAATTCTTCCTCTGTAAGCCATGCGTGTCATATGAGGCAACTAAAATGCCAGAAGCAGAGACTAGTTACCCCTTGTCCTGTATATATTACTAAATTTGAAAGGAGAAACTTTTGTTTTTCCTCTTGGGCCACCCTGCCTCAGTGGGATACGGCCAGTTGTTGAAAGATGGTTTGTTAATGCCAGTTCTGGACCTCCCAAGCCTTTCTTACGAATTTCAATTTTAAATACGTTTAGAGTAATATATAAATAGTCAAAAAATCCAGGTGCAAGGCTTGGGCAATTGCCAAAAAGCAAATTTATATCTCAAATTACTAGGAGAAATAGTTTTGTGGCATATAAGCAAATTCATAAAATCAATCTGCATAAAGTGAGGGGAAACTTGTACACCTTTTCCCCATGAAAAGGGGAGATAAATGATCTACTGTGATTGTGGAAGGACTCAAGAAAACTGGTTAGCAAACTGTAAGTCTGGAGGTGGAAAATATAGTGCCTGCACTTCAACGGTAGGAAGTATTTGGGTGAATAAAGCTGCCTTTTATTCATTCTGCCTCAATAAAAAATGGGAATGTTTAAAATACATTGTATGGGCTAAGAATAGCAAAACTGAAACTAGTAGAAAGTGCATTTATTATTATTAAAAAAAAAAAAAACTAAGCCATGTTCATAAAAATTATACTGATAATGATAATCCGAGAACAAAAATGCTGAAGTGCATTCTGGAAAAACAAAATCATAACAGCTTCTTAACAAGAGCCCCTCCCACAACATAAGTAAATTCCCCACGCCTGAGTTACATCACAAAAATATTCTTTCTATAGCTTTGTGCATAACACGTTTCATGTAACTAGTGTGACCTGTACATCAGTTATATAGAAACCTCAACCATCATCTATTAACTAAAAACATTTTATAAAGACCATTAAACTTACCGGGAAAGCCAGTTCTTGCCCCCTCCAGACCCATATACCAGATATGTTGTTAGCTCCATCTTCACCAAACACACACATGGAGGCAAAGGCATTCTTACGAAGTTTGTCAACACGCTGGAACATACCTGTAAATATGAATGTACTGTGCAGTTGCTTGAGTTTGATCTAAGGGGAGAGTGGAGGGAAAAGCCCAAAGGAAAGAGGCAGAGGGGAAGAAGGGAGAGAGAATAACACTACTTCATCTGAAATCCTTTATACCTAGGATGACTCGAGTCTGAAGCACATTCACACAACACAATGACACCGATAAAAATAAAAGTCAGTTGACCAAGTGAAATTACTGACCTACAGATGGCTTCAACTTCATCCTATTTCCTATTTGAGTGTCTCTTAACAGTAAAAAGGCTTTCAAATGAGCTGAAATAGGACACAGCTCTTAGCTTATATATAAAGGCAGAAACACTTAACCTAACCCCATAAAACCCTTTGTAAAAAAAAGAAAAGGGGGGGAGGAGAGGTGGGGAGGAAGGGGGGATAATGAAGAGGGAGAAGAGAGGAAGAGAGAGAAAGGGGGAGGAGGAAAAGGTGAAAGGGAAGAGGAGAGGAAGGGTGAAGAGGGGGAAAATGGGACAAGCGGAAGACAGAAGAGGGGAAAGGGAAAACAGGAGAGAGAAAAGGGAAGACAGAAGAGAGGGAAAGCAAAGACGAGAGACAATAATCTCAAGACAAATTACAGAGTTTTTTGACTATCACTCACTACTTTGTGATCGTCAATATGGCTTCAGGAAAAGTTACTCTGCTGCTGATCTGTTGTTAAACCTCTCCACCAAGTGGCACCAGTCATTGGATGAATCCAAAGTCAGCTGTGTGATAGCACTGGACATTGCTGGCGCTTTCGACCGGGTGTGGCACCAGGGCCTCTTAGCAAAACTTCAAGCACTGGGAATTGCAGGCTCTACGCTATGTCTCCTCAGTGATTACCTTCATGGTAGATCACTAAGTGTAGTTCTCAATGGAACGGAATCTGCAAGACATCCTATTGGGGCAAGTGTTCCACAAGGAAGCGTGCTGGGACCATTGTTATGGAATGTCTACTTCAACGACCTTCTTCATCTCATCCCAGAATCACATGCATATAGACGACTGCACACTGACATTCACTTATCCAAGAGAAGAAATGCCAGCTGCTCTAAGCTACATCAATCACCAGCTGAGAGCTATATCAGCTTGGGGAAATAGATGGCAAATAACATTTGCACCTGAGAAAACACAAATGATGATCATCTCTAGGCACCATGATGGTAATGCTGGTGCAGTAGTAAGGATGAATGGGAGGGTGTTGGCACCTGAAGAAGAAGTTGATATCCTTGGGGTGAAATTTGACTCCAAGCTAACCATGAAGAACCATGTTGTACATCTTGCAAACAAGGCAGCCAGGAAGCTTACAGCACTTCGCCGTATCTCGCACCTACTTGACAGTAGGGGTTGCAAGATTCTGTACGAGGCACAAGTACACTCGCACCTCGAGTATGCTCCACTTTCTTGGTTTGCCTGCCCCCCTCTCATCTGTGACTGCTTGACAGAGTAGAGAACAGAGCAAGACGTCTCATCTCTCGCCTGGACCCATCCTGGATAGATCTGTCATTTCAGCAGAGCCTTCAACATAGGAGGGATGTGGGTGGCCTTACTGTTATGTACATGGCCAATATTGTCAAAGTACCACACTTGGATCCACTTCGAGGACAGCGTGAAACAAGCTTTTATGCCACAAGACGGGCAGAAAGCAGCAACTTCACTCTGGCTGTACCCTTCTCCAGAACTTCACTCCATCTGAGATCATATATACCCAGGATGACTCGAGTATGGAACACATTCGTACAGCATAATGATGTCAACGAGATAAAGTCAGTTGATCAAATGAAAATGCTGGCCCACAGATGGCTCCAACTTCATCCTGTTCCCTACTTTTATGCCTCATAACAATAAAAATGCTTTCAAATGAGCTGATGTTGATAACAGCTCTTAGCTTGCCAATAAAGTTAGGAATCCTTAACCTGTAAATAGCTTGTCAATAAAGCTAGGGATCCTTAACCTTGTCAAACCCTGTGGAGAAAAAAAAAAAAAAAAAAAGGAAGACGGAGAAAGGAAATAGAAAGATGGAGGAGAGGGGGAGAGGAAGGGAGAAAGGAGAGAGGAAAGAGAAGAACCAGTCAGTAGCATAATGACACTGATGAAATAATCAGCTGACAAAAGGAAATCTCTGGCACACAGATGGCTCTTAACTTCATACGGTTCCCTAAGTATATTTTTAATATCTTTTACACACTAACTCTAAGGGTAGGTCCCATCGTACTATGGCTTTGAAGCCAGAGTCGGTCCCATAGTTCTGCGCCATGAGCTCAGCTCATTCAGATAAGCTGTGAGTAGTAAATTTGGACCTAGATATGAGAGAAGGGATCTATGCATTAAGTGTGCACAATATAAAAAAAATCCTGCAGCAAGCAGTGCATAATGGGAATAAAAGAAACTGTGACTGTGTTTTTAGTTTAAAACATCAACTTTGCAGTGTATTTTTGCATACTTTTTGTGGTTATAGTTTAAGCTTCTTCATCTCATTTTACAGAATGGAAGATATCTTACAGAAATAGAGATGATTTTGATTGGTTTCAGGACAAAGTAACTTGAAATTGAGCTCAAAATAGCAGAAATGTTTCATTTTTACCAATATTCCGGAGTACAAGCATCACTTTATTGTTCACCACAACTTATATTAGTCCCTTTTATATTATAATTCTAACTTTAAATTCTAAACCTTTAAAGTACTACCTACTATCATATTCCCAAGCTCCATTATTTGATCATCACTTTATTTGTTCACCACAAATTATTTTAGTCCCTTTTATATTGTCTCCTTTATTTCAGCTTTAAAAAACTACCTTAGCTCATTATTTTTACATATGTTAAATAATTCAGGTGCTACTTTTTTTTTTAGCTTTAGAATATTTACTTAATTTTTTACTTAATTCTAACTATAGATTCACTACAAATCTTATGATTACAAGCATTGATCCTGATACCAACCTCTTATTTAATGACTTAAATGATTCAAACAGTTACTGTAATTACTACACAGCAGAACAATCAAAGGCACTTCTCAGAGCCAACAACAACATAACTATCTTTAACTACAATATCAGATCTTTAAGCAAGCATTATGATGTCCTCCTAGCATTACTAAATTCCTTGCATGCCAATATGTCCATCATTACACTAACTGAAACCTGGCTAAAGCCTGATACTACAGATGTCTATGCCATTCCTGGTTACACAGCCATACACAACTGTAGGCCAGACCAACAAGGGGGTGGCACTGCTATATACTACTCAGAACCAACTAGAATGTATCACTAATACTTGCACAAGGATGAACATGGGGAATATATAATAGCTAAATTCAAATCCAAATACCTACAAAAACCTCTCACAGTGATAAAACATATACAGAGTTTCCACAATCAAACATTAGCCAATTTAGTCAAAACCTAGGAAGTATGATAACTGATGCACGCATGAACAAAGATCACTTACTACTCTCAGGTGACTTCAATATAAATCTCCTTCAAGACCAGGACCCACACATTACTGATTTCACAAACACAATGAGTAACTGCATGTTGCTACCAACAGTAACAAAACCTACAAGAGTTACAGAGACTAGTGTTTCCCTACTTGACCACATCTGGACCAACACCATATCCCCTTTAAAATCAGGCATAATTACAGATAATACCACAGACCACTACCCTACTTTCCTCATAACAACTCTTGGTAAAATACCCCAAGACACTACTAAAGTCACCTTCAGACTTCACAATGAGGCAGCCATTAATAACTTCACAACAGCAGTAACAAACATTGACTGGCACACTGAGCTAGAAATCTATACAGATATTGACGAATGTTTTAATAATTTTCTAAAAAAGACCCAATACCTTTATAACAAGCACTGCCCTAAAAAAACTAAACAGATGACAGCTAAGAGACTGAACAGTCCCTGGCTAACACCCAGCATTCTCAAATCCATAAATACAAAACACCGATATGAAAAACAGTACAGAATGGGTCACATAACCAGAGACCAAACAAAACGTTACTCGTCAATCCTAACCAGCCTGATAAGAAGGGCAAAAAAATTGTATTATGAGAACAGATTATCCAACTTACGAGGTGATAATTCTGGGAACAAAAAAGATATCACAACATAGCGAAATAAAATTAGCAAAATCAGATGAACCCCAACTCCCACCAACAGAAACAGCAAACAGACTCAATGATTTCTTCTCCACTATAGGTCAAAACCTTGCCAATAAAATCCCAAGCTCAGATACCCCACCAAATGACTACATCACTGGCAATTACCCGAACACACTGTTCCTAGCTCCGACTAACCCATACAAAGTCTCCCTTATTATCAACGCACTGAAAAACAAGGCAGGAGATTTAAATACCTTACCACCCTTTATATACAAAAAAGCGTCACAAGTACTATCACCAATCATTGCAACACTCTTTAACAAATCCATTGAATCCGCCACCTTCCCTACAGTTCTCAAATAGCAAGGGTCACCCCGATCCATAAAGGAGGGACCAAACAGAGTTGAATAACTATAGGCCAATATCCAATTTACACCCTCTCTCAAAAATCTTTGAAAAATTAATTCATAAACGAATCTACTCCTACCTCATCTCCCAAAACATTCTCAACCCCTGCCAATTTGGATTCAGGCCTAATAAAAATACTAATGATGCTATTATACACATGCTAGAACATATATACAATGCAATAGAGAAAAAAGAAGTCCCACTGGGGATCTTCATTGACTTACGTAAAGCTTTTGATACAGTTGACCATGACTTGCTCCACGTAAAATTGTCACACTATGGTATTAGAGGGCACTCCCTTAACTACCTCAAGTCTTACCTCAGCAACAGAAGCCAATATGTGTACGCAAATGGGGCAAGCTCTTCCGCACAACCAATTACAGTTGGTGTCCCACAGGGAAGTGTCCTTGGCCCTCTTCTCTTTCTCCTATACATAAATGACCTACCAAATGCTTCGCAATTA